AAAATACGCTTTGGAACTTATTGTAGATTATGGTTTGGAAAATACGCGTAGTCTCTCCACTCTCCTTGAGCAGAATCAAAGGCTCACATCATCTGAGTATGATAAGTATGTTGAGCACCGTTCTGATGAACTTTTAGAGGATACTGGAATGTATCAGAGATTAATTGGAAGGCTTTTATATCTGACACACACTCGTCCAGATATAATGTATGCAGTCCAGCTTCTAAGTCAGTTCATGCAAGCTCCAAAGAAAATTCATTATGAAGCAGCTATGCGTGTTGTGAGATATATTCGAAAGAACCCAGGAGAAGGCATTTTGTTTTCAGCTAAGAATAAACCCAGCTTAGTTGTGTTCTGTGATTCTGATTGGGCTGCTTGTCCCATGTCAAGACGTTCTGTTTCAGGCTATTGTGTTAAACTAGGAGATTTTCTCGTCTGTTGGAAATCTAAGAAGCAAAGCACAATTTCACGATCATCGGCTGAGGCTGAATATAGGTGCATGGCATCTACGGTGGCGGAATTGGTTTGGTTGAGAGGATTAACTAAGGAACTGGGAATTGAGCACCATGAGCCAACAACTTTGTATTATGACAACCAGGCTGCACTTCACATCGCGGCAAATCCAGTGTATCATGAAAGAACGAAGCATATAGAGATTGACTGTCACTTTGTTCGTGAGCAAATACAAAAGAGAGTTGTTTGTACCAGACATGTTTCGACCAAGGAACAGCAGGCTGATATTTTCACAAAGAGCCTGGGGACAAATCAGCATGAACGCTTGAAGATCAAGTTGGGAATGAAAGACATGAATCATTCTCCAACTTGAGGGGGAGTGTTGAGAAGCTGTTAGCAAGCTAGTTAGGCAGTTAGCTAGGTGGTTAATAGCAGTTTAGTTGTTAATTAAATGTATATAAATATATTTGTTAGTTGTACATATGTGATACAATGAATAAAGCATTACTTCATACATCTTGTTTTCTTTTCTTTTCCTCATATGAATGTTGACAAAAATAAATTACATCAGCATAAGCTTCCAACATAAAAACAAAATCTGGCAAAAAAGCTTTTTAAGTATATAACATAGGCATTACATAAGTGGCATCATCACCCCATCCATCAAATAATAAATGAAGTATATTATAAGCAGGAAATCTCTTAAATCAAGAACTTCCCCATTGAATCAGTCACGACTCATCTTCTACAGACCCTCTCACCCAGGGTTTTAAATCGCGGTCGCGGTCGCGTTCGCGATTTCGGTTATTTTAGATTTACCGTGATTGCGGTTGTCGCGGACGCTATTGCGGCAGTCGCAGGTAACTCGGACAGCGGCAAAACCGCTATATCGCGGCCGAAATTGCGGTTGCGGACCGTTTTTTAAAACCATGCTCTCACCTGTGTACCTCCCAACTTTTCTCTTCACTTCACCATTACCTAAACCAAAAAAAGAGATCTTAAATTCACTGCTCAAACACCCCATATAGTTATCCTGCCGAGTCCCGGGACGGGTCACCTCATTCACTAGCTGATTTCTCTAAGCGACTCGTCCACCGGCACAACTTTAGTGTTACGTTTGTTATCCCCACCAGTGGTTCTTCTGAAGCACTTCAAAAATAAACTGTAGATTCCATTCCAAACTGTGATTGTGTTTTTCTTCCTCCTGTTGACTTCAGTGACCTCCCTGGAGATACAAAAGCTGAAATGATTATCTCTTGAACGATGTTTCGTTCCCTTTCTTCCTTTTGGGATGTTTTGAAGTCGTTGGTATCGAAGATAAAGCTCGTTACTTTGGTGGTCGATCTTTTCGGGACGGACACATTCGATGTCGCTAAAGAATTCGACGTCTCGCAGTACATTTTTCCCCTTCCACGGCCATGGCGTTGTCCCTGTTCTACCTGCCGAAGCTTGATCAAATGGTTTCATGGGAGTATAGGGGCTTGTCTGAACCGCTGAGAATTCCGGGGTGCATACCAATCTACGGGAAGGAGCTTTCGGATCCGGTCAAAAGGGGGAAAAACAATGTTTACAAATGGGATTATAAATTTGTCCAAATGTGGATGAGCCATTTTAAGCAATAAAATAACTCAAATAAGATTTGTCCTTAATGTAGAGGAGCCATTTTAATTTTTAAGTATTAGACTTGCATATTACCAATCTCACCTGCTTCTATCACATGAAGCAAATATAATGAATGGTTAATGGTATATTTTATCTACTACTAGTCTTAATTTCTTACTCTTTTCTAGGTTTTTACTTTAGAACCCTAAATCCTTGAGCGGTAAAACTAGAAAATATCTTCGAAGAAAAAATAAACTCAGAGAATAAATCTCAAAATCAGTGTTTCTTTCAAAAACACAAGAAACGGGTTCAGATGAGGCGTGGTGATCCTATATTTTTGGTGGAGAATCTTTGTCCGGTGCCGATTTCTAAGGTTACCAAACAGGAAAGCAATCGATCTTCGTGTTTCCTCCATAACAGCCAGTTGTTTAATGGGCGGGAAATAAGCGTTAAAGCAAAAACACCGTCAATTAGAGGGCGGAAATGTGGAGGATACTGGTACTCTGGTAGTGGGCGCTTCATGCAACCGCACATTTGGCAGCGCGGCTCTACTTCGATTGACGTTTCTACCCTTCTACCTTTCATCAAAATATCGCATATTTTCATAAATACATGTAGGAGGACCAAAGTAATATTAGAAAACAAGAGGGGGCGTGTATGTCATTTGACATTCATGTTCTGAAATCGAAACTCCCATCTTCCACGTGAATAGATTCCCTTGACCGGGCACGCTTCTTCCTCTTTGATTCTTTCATAATCATCACTTTTCTATAAAGAAACAGATCTCACTCTGAAAACAAGGTTTCTGTTTCAAAGAACAATACTTCAAAGATATTCCAATATTTCAGTTTAGATCGTCTTGTCCGAAGTATTACGTCATGACATGTTTTCGAAGCTTTTGGTTCTCTACTTTATCATCCATCGGTTCCGATGCGAGCATTGTCTGATTTATTCCGAGATTCGTCGTTGATCACCTCCTCCATGATACGTGGTGCATCCGGCAATGGTGAACCAAGGTATATATCATGACTTCCCACTTTTATTAATTCATACTCTTTTTTTTTATTTAAGAAATGAATTGTTAATTAAGAATATAACTTAAAAAGTTAATGTAAATTGAAAAATATTTAAGGATCAGTTTTTTTTAAATCACCAAACCAAAGACCATAATGGGTATTAAGAGTTTAAGACCCTCAAATTTAAAAAAAATAGTTAAACCTTCAAAATTTCTTAGATATTTTCCTTGAGCCTTTATTTTTTTTAATAATTTTGGGTAGGCTTTCATATTAAAAAGAAAACTCATTGAGGTTTCTATTTTATTAAAAAACTTTGATTAATTATCTAAAGTATTTTAAAAAGATTAAATACACTTAAAATATTTTAAAATTTTAATTTAAATTAATTTTTTTAGATAAATAACGCATTGGTTTATTTTTAGATGTAGTTATATCTAATATTAAAAATTATTAAATGATAATCTTTAATTATATTAATTAAAATTAAAATTTATCGTTTTTTTTTAAATAATTTGAGATGTTATAAGATAATATATATTCAAAAAATTTAATCATGTACATTCTTTAAATATAATTAAAATTAAAATCTTTAAAAAATATCATTATATTTTACCTCTAATCATTCAATAGATTCAAAAGTTATTATGAAATATATTATCAGTCAATATTTTTCTATAAGCAGATTTGAGAATGGTGGTAACTGTTTAATATATTTATTATTTAATATTTTAAATATAGTTTAGCGTGATTATAAATTCAAATTGATATATCGTTGAGTCCCAGGTGGCACACATGCAAATGAAAATCGCTTTAATACTTTGGGGCTTAATTAAAGCCCAAGTGCGCAACCATGAAAACACCTGTTCTTAGGGGTGGGTGCGGGTTGTTTAGATTGTTTTGGTCTAATTATGCATCTATTCTCTTCACATATTTGAATTTAGTCCCTTTATGCTTTTTATTTAATGACTAAAATCCAATTAATAATACTATACAAATATTTAAAATAAATTAAAAAGTGTATCGATTTTCCGTTTGTGTTATCAACTGGGAAAAAAGACTAGGAAATCAAAAGGAAAGCACAAAATTGTAAATACACGGAGAATACAGAGAGCGAGAGTGAATTAGACCTTTTTATTTTCATCTTCATCACTGTATTAACTTAATAAAACTATTATTTATGATGATAAATCTAGATTATTTAATTTTTGAGTTTATCACGTTACTTGAAAACATGAGCTATCTATTTCAAACAGCGTCGGCTTCAAGCTCGATGATTCCAAGGTGCCTAGGGTTTAAGCATTTAACGGGGATTTCCAAACTTGAAAAGCAAATCAAATTCAATTTAATTTGCATTAGATTTTGGAAACACAAGATATCTTAGTCTTTGTCGTTGGACTTGGCATTGCATGGCAGTAATATTCTATTAGCCTGTGGGGACTCAACGACTGGCGACGACGGCAAGTTTCAAGGACGGAAAGTGTGTGTATTTTGAAACATTTGTTTTGGCATCGAGATCAACAACAATCAGCCTCTGTTTCTCTCCAGGTGCGTGACAATAATTTATTTAAGTTTAATTATAAAATTACACGAATATTCAAAATTTGTACCGACATGGTTTGGATATTTCAAAATAAACAAAGCTTGAGATCATCAAGGAAAGGGCAACAAAAATAAATAAAAAGGGTAGATTGTAAATGATGTTTCTTGTCGTAATAGAGTAGTTGAAGTCCATGGCGAAAACAGAACCGAGTAGTTGAAGTCTTGTGGATTCAAACAATCAATCCACCATATATTTCATCGATACCAATGCCTTGTGGGAGGTGATTCCCACAGAAAAGAATATCCAGTTGTCCGGTCTAAAGAATTTGCACAACTCCACAATATGTTTAATCGACCAACATTTCGGGCATGTAATGAAACTAGATGCTAAACACTGTCCTTATAACGTTGGTTACATACATCCTTTGTTTTCAGCCCAGTCTTGTCATGGAATAAGGTTTCTCTCTCTTGCACAAGTTGGTTATTTTCTTTCAAGTAGGCATCGACTGCTTGAACCGAATCTATGGCGTGCACGTCGATGGCTATTCCTACCTCTCAGGTTGCCTCAAAGGGGAAAGATGGAAGCAAAGAAGAGATCAATGGGCTTCGGAGATCACATTCCGGCATAAAGCTTAATAAGAGAGCTGGCATGCGGAGATCTTGTTCTGATAATCACCTTTGCTACTCTATCAATCGGATACGTGCTGCATCGACGAAACCGACCCTGAAGAACAGCCGTTCTGTTGGGATTCTCCAGTCGCTCCCATTTCAGATTTCGAGTTCGATAATTCCGAAATCTGTTAAATCATTTTTGTTTGACCCGGAGACAAGTAAGAGCTCGGGCATAGTGGAAAAGGATGGGAAAATTGACAATGAATCCTTGGAAAATGACGATGAAGAAACGGAAATAAAGAGAGCCAATTGGGTGAATAGGTTGATGGAGATTCATAGTCGCTGGAAAAATAGACAAGTAGAAGATGATTTCGACAGAGCCAGAATATTTGATGAGAACGGAAATGGTGGTGATGGTGACGGTGATAATGAAGAAGATGATGGTGGTTGCGAAGTGAACTATGACTCTAATGAAGAGGAAGATGAAGTGAAATACAACAGTGAATCATTCTCGAAGTTATTGGTGAAAGTGCCGTTGTCCGATACCAAGCTGTTCTCTCGCCTGGCCTTCTTGTGCAACATAGCTTATGGGATACCAGAGATTAAGGTATGCTTAAATCGGTTCTAGCAAATTATATATCTGATAATCCGGTGCTCCGGGGTAGTCTAGCTGTTAAATTTTGAAGCTTTATATTCGATCGGTAACACCTGTTTTGGTAAATTAAATTTACTAGTCAAATTGATTGATTAGCCTAGAAATTTATATACATGCAGGGACATGAGTTAAGACGATATTATGGTCTAAAGTTGGTAACATCGTCCCTAGAAAAGAAAGAGGAAGCCTCTAAGATCAAAGCCAAGATAGATCAGGACTCTACTCGTGTACCTACTTCTGACCCAGAAACTACTGAATGGAAGTCGGAGAAAGTTGAGGGTACCAAGCTGAAACGCCGGATCAGCTTATCTGTTGTTTACGAGATTGCTGCTTTGGCTGCATCTTATGTCCAGTCAAGGGCAAAGGGTCTTTTGTCCCCTGGCTTTAAGTCACAGGTGAAGGATGACGGGAATTTGTGTGGATCAGGGGATCAGCCAGAAATGGAAGGGGAGGATTCTCCTCAAGCGTATAACTCGGAGGTGGCTGCATATATGGCAACATCGGCGATGACCGCTGTGGTTAGAGCCGGGGAGAAGGAAAAACAAGAGACGGCAAAGGACCTTCAGTCACTACAGTCATCGCCTTGTGAATGGTTTGTTTGCGACGACTTGAGCACATATACCCGCTGTTTTGTTGTACAGGTATTAGGTCAATTCTTTGTCATTCATTTCAATTATTGAACCGTTATAGATTATATTTGTTGATATTTGCAGGGGTCGGACTCTCTAGCATCGTGGCAGGCAAATCTTTTGTTCGAGCCTATGACATTTGAGGTGAGCTTAAACGCTTAAGTAATCAGAAACTATAGAATTTACTGAAAATATGATACTTTTATTCTCTTATAGGACACTGGTGTGCTTGTTCATAGAGGAATCTACGAAGCAGCAAAGGGCATATACGAACAATTCTTGCCGGATATTATGGACCATCTGAAAAGGCACGGGGATCGTGCAAAGTTTCAATTCACCGGTCATTCCCTTGGTGGCAGTCTTTCTCTTTTAGTTAGCTTGATGCTGTTGACTAAGAAGGTTGTAAAGCCTTCCGCTCTTAGACCTGTCGTCACTTTCGGGGCACCATTTGTGTTCTGTGGAGGCCAAAAGATACTCGACGAATTGGGGCTCGATGACAACCACGTGCATTGCGTGATGATGCACCGAGACATTGTCCCTAGATCCTTCTCCTGCAAATATCCGAACCACGTAGCTGGCGTCCTCAAGCGTTTGCCCGGTTCCCTCCGGACTCATCCTTGTTTGCTTAGAAATGTAAGTACTTGCTTCATATGTAGTAGACTTCCCTTGTAATCTATCATTCATTTCTTTCGTTGTTTCGATGCAGAAACTTTTGTACACTCCGCTCGGGAAGTTATTCATTCTACAACCTAACGAGAAGTCGTCTCCGCCGCATCCTTTAATCCCTCCCGGAAATTCTCTTTACGCATTGGACAAGGCGCATAGCGAATACTCCGTGAAGGCGCTCATGGCGTTCCTTAACTGTCCCCATCCATTGGATACCCTCAGCGATCTTACCGCCTATGGCTCCGATGGTACTATTTTAAGAGATCATGACTCCAGCAACTACTTGAAAGCGATTAACGGTGTCCTAAGGAAACACAAAAAGACCGTTCTGAGCCATACGAGGATATCGGAGGGAAGCACAGTATGGCCGCTGCTCGCTTCGCCATCTCCTCACTCGTGGAGCCATGATAGAAAGTTAGAAAGCAACTTGTTGTCGAATAAGGAGATAATGACCGGTGTGTGAACAATGAAGCCTTTCTCCATTGATACGAAGATGCTAATAACTTATATAGCAGAGTGTTGGCCTTGTTTTTTACTTATCAGAAGATATATTTTAATTTTATATGAAATTTTATTAAATCAATCATTTTTAAATCCAATCATTTTCATTTATTATACAATATAATTATATTTATTGCTTAATTTTTAATACACACCAAACATTTTTTATTAAACAACTTTAGCATTAAAATTCCCAACTTCAAAGCTATATAAATCTAATTAATATAAATTAAATAATATTTGAATTAAACAATCAATATTTTTTTAATTTTTTTTCACTTTAAAGCATATTAAGCAAAAATATATTAGATTTCAGCAACATCCATATATCTTTAACTAAAAGAGTTGACTCTATAAAATATCCTCAAAACATAACTTGAAATTTAAATTAGTCCCAACTTCAACCATTTTAATTGAATAGTATTAATAGAGAAAATAACATCAGTGACCGAAAATACCTTATAATATACGATTTTGATCAAATTTTTTTCGATTTGTCAAAATGACCAACAAAATCGTAATGCGATAGTGGTCGTGGTCGTTTTACGATTTTGTTGGTCATTTTGGCAAATCGAAAAAAATACCCATTCCCAATAGTGTTTCCAATGCTATGTGGGATTGAGTATTGCAAACACTTGGGAATCTTTTACACTATCGCAACACATTCTTTATTGTTTCAAACTCCACGTGAATTTGGAATAGTTAAAATGTAAACTTATTTTGGATTTTTCACTATCGCAACACTTTTTCACTATCGCAACAACACGTTTTTCAAACTCTCGCAACACATTTTAACTATCGCAACATATTTTAACTATCGCAACACATTTTTCAAAATCGTGTTGCGAATCTTACAATCGCGTTGCGAATTTAGATATTCGCGTTGCGAATTTGGAAACTGAGTTGAAAAATTAGAGTTCGCGTTGCGATTTTATTGGTCATTTTGGCAAATCCAAAAAAAAATTGATTAAAATCGTATATTATAAGGCATTTTCGATCACTGAGGTTATTTTCTCGTATTAATATTCTATCAATCGATTCAGTAATTATTTTAAACGTTAAATGTAAATTTAGATTTAACGTGAAATATATTTAAAATTTTAAATCAAAATTTAAATAGTTATGTTTATTATTTGAATAATATAAATTTTATGTATTAAAAAAGTAATTATTTAACCAACAACCAGTTGATCTAGTTAGATGAGATATTATATTCTTTAAGTAAAATTGAGGGTTCAAACTCTGATTATTGTAAATAGATCAAACTGGATTGAGAAGATTGTTTTTGCCTCTCTAATATCTGCTCTAGATTAACCGATTAAATGATTAAATACTAGTAATTAATTTAAAAAATAATGTCATTAAATTTTATAAATAATTTTATGATATCACGTTGATTCATTTTTTTTCAAAAATTAATATTTAATACTCAAATCGATGTTTAAATTTATTGAAATAATCTAATTAATATGATATCAATATTAAATAGTTTTATTACAAAAATTTTAAGATTATGTGAACTTAATATTCAGATTATAATATAAATATATATATTGTAATTAGCCTGTAATAAAATCTTAAAAATACAAAATAATTAAATATTTTCTTTAATTTTTCATGTATTTTCTTTTTCTTCATCTCTTCCTCAATTTCCATTTAAAACAAAAGGGAAAAAAAGCAAAGAGAAAACCCTCAAAAGCACGAACTTCCTCGACGTCAAGCGAATACTATATACCTCTATCACGCCTCCACAGCCTCTTATTCTTGTAACCAAACGCACCCTTCTTTTTCCTACATCCTTTCTTTCTTTTCTACGACATTTTACAAAAAAAACTAAAGAATTAGTAATATATTTTTGGATCCCCAGCACCCTTCTTTTCGTTTTTTTTTGCAATTGCTATTTCGTCCTCGTGTGAGCCTCTTTCATTTTGATTTGCCAATACTTCCAAATTTCCAGGATTGTTGCAGTTTCTAGTTAGGGTTTTTGATTTTCTCAATGCCCTTATTGTTTCCCATCTCATTTACTTTTTAGGGTTTCGTTTCCCCACTTTCATTTCTTATTTTTCAGTTTCTCCTCTTTCTCAAATCATAGATTCACCAGGAAAGTGCTCATATTGAAAAACAATTCATTTTTCTTCTTCTTTTTAAAATTTGAAGTTTTTGGTTGCGTTGTGGTATTCGGGAGGGTCTAGAAAGTTGCTAGGGAGGAAAAGTGGTTTAGGATTGCATGGGAGGGCATGAAGGGTGGGCGGCGCAGCAGCCACCGAGCGGGCTATTGCCGAACGGATTATTACCGAATGAAGCCGCCTCGGCGATTCGGGTACTTGACTCGGAGCGATGGATGAAGGCTGAGGAAAGAACAGCTGAACTCATTGGCTGCATTCAGCCCAATGCACCCTCGGAAGGTCGACGTATTGCTGTAGCTGATTATGTCCAGCGCCTCATTTCTAAGTGCTTCTCTTGTCAGGTCCAATCCAATGATTATCTTATTATGATTTCTATCTTATTCGATGCCATTATATTGGATTATTTACTGTGAGTTGTCTATTTGTACATTTTTGTTTCCATGTATTTGATTACAAATGTTAAGGCATGGATAAATGGTATAACATGAAAGATTATAGATTTACAATCTTTAGATTTCATGTTCGGGTCCATGAGTGGAGGGATGAATGTAACTTATGTTATATTGATGAAGAGTTGCTTGCTTTTTGTTGACAGGTGTTTACTTTTGGGTCTGTGCCCCTCAAGACATATTTGCCTGATGGGGATATTGACTTGACGGCCTTCAGTAAGAATCAAAGTTTGAAGGATACATGGGCTCATCAGGTTCGGGATATGCTGGAAAATGAAGAGAAAAATGAGAATGCTGAATTCCGAGTAAAAGAAGTTCAGTACATTCAGGCTGAGGTAAGTCGGAATGAAATGCCTTCACTTCATAATTCCAAGGAACCTTGGATTTTGTCTTTTATATTTGGAATTCTTGCATAAAGCTAGTTAATTTCTTCCACACATTTGTTTACTGTTGTTATCTGAATACACTAAATCCTTTTGATATGTTCTTCCCCTTTTCATGCATTTTCAGGTGAAGATAATTAAGTGTCTCGTAGAAAATATTGTTGTAGACATTTCATTTAATCAACTTGGTGGATTATGTACCCTTTGTTTCCTTGAAGAGGTTAGTGATGCTAAGCCTGGCACTACAATAGAAGTCTGCAGATATATATTTTGAATGATAAGATGTTTGGATTTTGTTCAAGTTTAAACCTAACTTAACATCTGTATGTTTAGGTTGATCGCTTGATAAACCAGAACCATTTGCTCAAACGTAGCATCATTTTGATAAAGGCCTGGTGTTATTATGAGAGCCGCATATTGGGTGCTCATCATGGACTTATCTCAACTTATGCCCTGGAAACATTGGTTCTGTACATATTCCATGTTTTCAATAAGCCCTTTTCTGGACCACTTGAGGTTGCTATGTTTACCTTTATATTTTTATGGCTTTGCTTTTGCCTGTATATCTGTCTGAGTTTTCCCCTTTTCATTCGTAGGTCATGTATCGATTTCTTGAGTTCTTTAGCAAGTTTGATTGGGAAAACTTTTGTGTCAGCCTCTGGGGTCCTGTTCCGATTAGTTCTCTGCCAGACATAACTGGTATTACCTTTTACTAACAGAATGTTTTCCAGTTTCCTAGTTGTAATTTCATTGTTTGAAATGCTTTTTGCAGCCGAACCTCCTCGGAAAGATGGTGGAGAGTTGTTACTTAGCAAGTATTTTCTTGATACTTGTAGTTCAAGATATGCTGTTTGCCAAGAAAATCAGGGCCAGCCCTTTGTTTCTAAACATTTCAATGTGATTGATCCTTTGCGTATAAATAACAACCTTGGGCGTAGCGTCAGTAAAGGTAGTTACATCTATAACTATTGAGTGGTTATTCGTTGTTCTTTTGGATGTTTATGCACATTTTTGTGACTTGTTTCTCTTTTGTTTAGCAATCCCATTCTTCTGGTACTTTGGCTGGGTCCTTTTGCTGGCCATAAGTTTCTATACTTGGCATAACTATTTTACCGTTATGTTCTTTTATGGACCCATGGAAAATCCTCTTGAAGATAGATTATAATAGACTTCTTATAGAGTCTCATGCTATAGGATTTTCAAAATTTTTAAAATAAATTGTTAGAAAAGAATGTGAATAGACTGTTATTGTTGGGAAGAGAGGTGATTGTAAACAATTAGAATCTTAGTTCTGCATAGTTTTGTCACTTACTGAAAACTTCTCTGATTGAGGGTTACATGCTAAGAACTTCTGATAAAGAAAGTTAGCTGAAGAGCTGGTATTGGCAGGCAGAATGGTGATAGCACACGTCTAAAATCTTTATTTTGTCAACTTTTGCACGGTTTTTGCATTTACTGGAGACTTGTATGATTTAGCACTCATGAATCAAAGATGGATGTGTACTATCAAATTTCTACATGTTCAACTATGTAAAGCATTTTAACAGTTGTGATGCTTTTGCAATATTTGAGTTGTCAAATTTTCTGGCTGCCTGTTTTCACTGCTAATAATAGGTTTTATTGTGCATAAAAATAATATGTTATTTTCTTCTTATCAAAAAGAATAATATGTTATTTTCCAGGTAATTTCTTTAGGATACGCAGCGCATTTGCATTTGGAGCTAATAAGTTGGCAAAGTTACTTGATTGTCCCAAAGAAGACCTCTATTATGAAGTAAATCAATTTTTCATGAATACGTGGGAAAGGCATGGAAGTGGCCAACGCCCTGATGCACCCAGGAATGATCTGTGGCGTTTGAGGTTGTCAAATTCGAATGGCACTCATGGACCCAACAATGTCAGGAACACTTCAAGCAGCAGAAGCAATGATACTTCCTCTGGGCATGACACTCAAGCTGAAGGAGTTCAAGGATCATGTGGTGTTTCCTCACAGCATGTTAATTATCCATCAGATAGCACAAGTAAGATTAGTGA